GGGGGGGTTCAAACCAGAATCGCCTTCATTCTACACATTGAGTTAACCGTACTTCCATTTTTCCCTTTTCCTCAGAGGAGATTAAAGAACTGAACAAAAAGCTCACCACTGCCAATAATGAGAAATGTGAGGCTCAAGCAAAGCATAATGAGCTGCAGTCAGAAGAAGTGTCCAGAGAGGTAAGTTCAAGACTTGAGTTAGAGAGCTAGTGTCTGCTTCCTTGTTGACTAATGTTTGCTCTTTTACATACATTCAGAATTTAATATGTATGTCATAGAAATTGTTGGATGTAAAAGAAAAATGCAATGCATATAATTATCTGACATATCTTTGTTGTTTTGAAAAAACGAAAGAAGACAGACTTCATAAGCTGTACCTAGGGAGCACTTTGTGGTTACTTGAAAGACATTGGCTACTCATTATGTGAGGGTTTGTGTGTTCAGTGCAACAGCTCTGCAATCCAGGACTGGGAAGTATTAGGTAGGTGTCCTGGAGCGAATAGTTACTTAATACATGGGTCTCAATATTCCGCTATTTAGCGGATTTCCGCTACCGCCATTTCCTCCGCTAAACTCTGCTACCGCGACAGCGGTTCAATCAGAAAGAGAGTTGCTGGAAGCAGAGTGACTGCCAGGCCTCGGGAATTACCCGGGAATTTGAAAAAAATCGCCGAGACGCGGGAAAAATACATAAAAGATCTCGAATATTATTTGAAAACCAAATCCGATCACGTCTTTAAGTTCATTTTTGCCAGTCGCGATTGTGATATTAATTCGGCTTTTCTCGGTCTGAGAGTACGTTTCACGCAAACAGGCGGCTATGGCGGCAAGCGGAATTGTATGTGACACCGAGGCTCGACCGGAAAATCAAGATCTCAGAAATTTGTCTGTAAAAGTCTAAATACGCAACATTTGTAACATGCAGGTTCTGCATTACAAACGTGGTGTCGCCATGAAAATAATGTTCGTCACTGTACTGTCGCTTGTGGGGGGAAAAAAAAGAAAAGAAAAGAAAGTTATACAAGCGTCTTGTCGGGCTCGTCATTGTGACCGGTCAATGAACCTGCGCGCGTTCTGAGCGCTGTGAAGTACAGGACTCAGGAATGGGGGAGATTATTGATTTTTTTAAAAGATACACTCAGGGATGGGGGGAGGGCTGGAGGCAACACCAGAGGACAAAAAAAGAAAAGAAATTGGAAGCAAATTTTAATATTTAGAATTTTGATTACTACTACAGCTGTCTGCAAAGTAAAGTGCGCGTTAGTGCATGCCTTGTGTATAATCGGGGTCCGTCATAACTGCTTGTAAGCGTGTTAATGAACTTAGGGCAGGGGCCTAAGTGTTCACGTTTCATTGGATGGGTGAGAGTAAATTATGTCTCTATATTTTAGCTTTTTGTTCAAGATTCGCATATTTTTAGTGTCACTGCATCTTACCCTCCCACAGTTCTACACCTCTCACACTGAATAGGTTTACTTGAGCTATTCAAGTTATTACTCTACTTTGAGTTTGAGCGTTAATTTTGTCTTTCACGTTTATTATATGAATCATTACACCCAGACTGGTTCATAACAGTCGATATTCTGGTTCTAGGCCTTTTCCCAGGCTCAAAACAAGATTCATTTTTATATAGTTTATATATGCAGGCGAAATATGATGAAAGTAAAATATAAAAAAGTCGCACAAGACCACAGTGCGCCTCCACTTTCTGTACGTAATCAATGTTGTAAATATTTGGTAAGTGACTCTTACTTGAAATTATCTTCCAAACCCCCAAACTGGTATGAAATTACCTTGCTTTGATAAATTGATGGTTTTTATTTCAACATTCTAGGGTCCCACAGTATAATAGTGGGTGTCTCGCGAAAATGGGCTTCTGTCGCAGTCACATGGAAAGTTCCTCCTTTTAAAAAATTCTGAGTTGAGACCCATGTTAATAGTAACATCAAACTGAGTGCAACCTAAGTACTTTTATTTTTAAAAACGACTGGTCTGTTGTCTCAAAGAGTTAAGGGGGAAAAGGTGAGATGGATATTCTGTTGAGGTGAGGACGGCACATATCGATCGCAGTGCAAAGACACAAGATTGGGGGATCAGGAGAGTAAGAAAGGAAAAGCAAGAAGAATAGGCCCCAGTTTCTGACTTTGTGTAGTATTTCTATGCACAACATAGTTTTGCCCTTTTTGTATGTTTAACGTATAACATGTGCTATTTTTCAGTATCGTGAGAAACGGCTTGAGAAAGAAAAAGAGCAACTGGAAAAACAAGTAGAGTGGTTCAATACTCAGCTGACAGAGAAGACCAACCAGCTGAGCTCTGTGAGAAAAGAGAAAGTGAGTTTGAATTATGTATGTGTATAATGTTCAATTTTTTTATCAGAACAAGTTGGACTCCTCAATATATTCAAATGTTTGGCATGTTGCATGGTATGTACTTTTGATTGAAAAGCTACAGAAATCCAGTGTTCAAAAATGAAGAAACATTTTTATTATTGAAGTCTGTTGAAAGGCAAATTAGTACTTTTTGATTAATACACTGTAGACACGGCGCACCGGCAGTGGAATTTTAGTTACCGCCGGGGCCCCCGCAGGGTGCCTTATCACGTCGGGGTCACGGGGGTCAGCTCCCTGTCGCCGCTCTGTCTGGGCCGACTTAATTTTTGGTACTTTTCAACATACAATTTAAGGTGTATCCTTGTATTTATGGTAATTCTCATTTAATGCACCCAAAGCATGCATTTCTGCTCTTGAGACTCAAAAAAGAACGGACGTTGTAACTTGTCTGGTTATTTCGTTAGACGCGCTGGAGTCGGCAATGCTGAATTGTAATTTTTTTTGGACTAGCGAGAATGAAAAAAAATCAATATAAAAAAAGGCATCATCAAAGTCTGTCGAACTTTTGGAACGTGAACGACATAGCATTGTTGCAGATACTCAGAAAAGATGGTTCTGCGCATATAATAGAAAGCTGTAATTTTGCAACTTTATCCATTGGGCACACAATTCGCTATGAAGTAATTCCTCCAAATACAACTTTATGTGTCTAATATAATCGTGAATATTCGCATATTTTCTCGAAAGTTTATATAAGTCACCATGAAGTTTCTCTATGAAAAGTACAAATCGATTTTAGTGCTACTAATACACGAACAGCATCAGTTACACTCCAGAAATTCCTTACTTTTCTTAAAACGCTAAGTCTAGGTTTTGTAAGTTGACTGAATAATAGGGATGACTTTTCGTAATTGGGTTATAAGAATAATTTCTAGCTTTCCAGGGACACTGAATCAGCACCAGACTTTTCCAGCTTTATTTTTCGTTTCTGTGACCATTTGCAATAATTGACAATGTGACTGATTTCTTTACATATTCTGTCCGCGCATATTTCCGACACAAAAACTAAGAATGAATGTGTTAGCTGTCAATATTTTTATTCCATAAGAGAAGTTTATCTCTACCCTTGTATTTACACCGTTTTGTGGGGGTTTTTAATTGCCTATATTATATCTTTTTAGTTGTATGCAGGCTGCCACAGACACAGCATGATTCGTGAACAAACGCAGAGTAACTTTCTCTTGTTTAATAGTAAAATAAGAGCTAACGCTGATAGTCTTTAGTTTAAAAATGCAGATGTGCATCTTTCTTCTCTTATAACTTGACTATTTCTACTCGCGCAGATTTAAGATTTCTCATGGTAAAAGACATGATATTCGTCAGTTTAACACAGATTTTGGAGAGATCTGTCATGCCTTTTTAAGATTAACAATCATTTATTCATAAGTTTGTAACTAAAATAGGACAAATTGGGTACTCTACAAACACTTGTCTAGAACAAAAACTAAGGCACAGAAACTAACTATTCTAACGCGAAATAAATCTCAAGACATTGAGCTTTTAGTACATCCGCGTAATGGTTTGCTATGTGGGATGGGGAAGAAGTTATATCGTTTTAAACATAGTCAAAAATGCGAACTTCCTAACCGACAGCGGCAAAATCGCTTCAGGACTCATTAACACGGTGACCCCGAGCCGGGGAGCTCCGGCGGGCTGCTGAGTCACGCGAACTAAAAGTAACAGAATTGGGCGAAAAGTGACGCCGTGTCGAAAACTTGCATCACACATAGTTGCCACTTTCGCGCTAAATAGCGGAAACTCCGCTTCATCTAGCTTTTCCTGCTACTTTCCTCCGCTGGACCGCTCTCGGCCGCAAATTGCGATACTTTTTTACACGCGGAAAACACCGAACCGGGAGAGAGACGAAAACGCAGCTTGCGCATGTCCGCCCGTAGCTTTCTACTTCCATTTTTCTAGGCCTAGCTGTAGTTTCACTTTGTTTATTGTGGAGCAACAATGTGTCGATCGGGCATCAGGACGTTAGCGCGCCGAGTTGTCATTGAAAACGGCGGAAATTCGAGAGAAATTGATGCTGAATGCAAAAATAAAACGAGCTGGAACGAGAAAGAAGCTGCTGGTGCGACCTGAAAAGTTCATGAGAAAATTTAACTAACCGCTTGCTGCACTTTGCGTTTGGTGCGATAAAGAAATCGCGGCACTCCTGTACAATTGCGGCCTCGTTTGTTTACATAACGGCTATATTGTGGCTGTTGATGAAGTGAACACTGAATATAGATCTAGATCTAGATAATCTATCTCTAGATATAATCTAGATTTACACATATTTAGATATCTAGATTCTAGATCTAGATTAGATAGCCTAGGCTATAATATTAATTCAGGTTAGATCTACACTCTACAGAGGGACTACTAAGTTAAGTGCAAACGGGACCGCAGTTGTACAGGAGTGCTCAGTACAGCGGCAGAGGTGTTGCCTCCTTGATCCAATACTGCGCGTGCTCAACATCGATGTACAAGTTTTAAGTTGAAAGAAATCTTTTTTGCCCCAGCTTGCAACAAACACTGGATTTTTAGTCACCAAGTCCAAACTGTGTCAAATTGACTCAAATGCTTGTTAGTCTACTTAGTGCCTTTGTTGGTTGTTGTTGTTTTGTTGTTGTTGTTTTTTTTTCAAATACATTGTAATTCAGTTGCCTATGGTTAACAAATATGACAGTTTTCCCTTCAAAAACCATAGGCTAGATTTTCCAGTATATATTGCCTCTGGATCTCACTGGTTTTACTCAGGCCTTCGGAGAGCGCGCGTCCGCCTTCGCATGAATTTCCTCCTTTTTTGAAATTCCTGAGTGGCAGCTATGATCACAGTTTTGCTAGTTGAATTTTATCATTCTTATGAGCTTGTTTTTAGTCTAAAGATGAACTGGAATGCCTTACTTGAATGAGAGTTTTCTTACTTCACTCTGCATTTTTTTTCTTCAGACCAGCCATGTTTTGGAACTCCAGGCTTCTTTGGACCAAAAGACTCAAGAGGTTTGTAAAGAGAGCTGTCTTTTTTGTCCTGCGTTTTAAAACAATGCACAGACACTTGTGTCCTGGTAGCATACCCGTCGTTGCTGAGTTTTAGTCTCATAATCAAAACTTTTCATAGAATGATCTGTCTTTATGATTGTCATGACATGTTTACCTGATTGTGAATACTGTCCGTGTTTTATTTTAGCGAATCAAAATGAATGCTCTGAATTTGTTATAAATCATATGCCAGCTCTGTGTTAAGTGTATGTATTGATAAAAATGTGGTGTAAAGAGAAAAAAGTACAACATTTATGATATAATTTCTGTTGTGTTTTCCTTGATAGTGTAACATGCTAATCTTTCTTTCACTGGTCATATTTTACCACTTTGGAATTGAGTGAGGGTCATCTGTTTTAATCATCCTGGTGTTTGTTTGCAAAAGGCAATTTAAATTTTTAAAAATCTTTCTTTTGTTTGTAGCTGGAGCACTTGCAGGCAGTGGTTGATTCCCTAAAGACATCAACAGAAGAGCAGAACAAGAGGATTGAGTCACTCAATGAGAAACTGAAAGATGTGAGGCATTGTAAACTGTGGTGCTTGTGTTTAAGTTTAAGCTGTGTTATTAAATTAATCATGTGAATGTATCGTTACTTTATGTGTTTGGTTATCAGTTATTTGATGCTTTCAGTCTCACAACCCGGGGCGGTGCTACTGACTGAAGTGTCTTTAGGCCATTCCCAAAGGGGAGACATTAACCATGTTCTTATGCACAGTAGAGTTGTAATTGTAAATAGGCTGTTTCATCAATGTCATGCTCATATCTGTGCCTGATCTGCAACAGGGAACTGCTGCTTTTTCTTTCCTATTCCTTACTATCGTCATTTTTTCCTCTACTTCTTTTGTATGTTTGTCACACTCTTGTGACCTGCTATTTCCGGGGTTCCTTGATAGTCGAAGCAGACTTTGTACTGTTGAAGGTAGAGAGGTGAGCAGAGTAAGCCTGATTCCCTATAAGGACTATTTGTTGACATCCACCCCTTGGCGCTCTTATGACCTTATGCAGTTGCTAGCGCCGTAAAACCTCCACTAAAACAAACAAAATTTCAGTATTTACTCAAGACTTTTAACCCAGCATCTGATGCATTGTTTAGGCTGTCTACAGTTACACCTAAGGCGTGAGTTTGAATCTTGTTTGTGGAAGTCTGTTCATCCCATTTTGCCCGTTTCACATTCACAGGCAAGGTTGAAGCAGCTTTCCTCTTTGATTATCAAAATTGTGTAAATTAGGGCATAGAACATTTAATGGTCAAGAGTTGAATTGTAGGTGGGTGAAATATGTTTTATTGATGGAGAATGTATAACTTTATAGATCATCCTTTATAAAGATAAATGTAGATTGGTCCTTAGATTGGCTTCACTGCAGGGAAGACAGTCCTCTTTTCACTCTCTTTTCTTTGTCACTGACTAATGGGAAGTGTATTATCTTGGTTTTCCTGTTGCTTGTTGATTGTTTTGTGTTATTTCCTATCTTTTTATCTCTCTTTCTTAATTTTGTTCCTTCCTTTCCCTCCTCTTGTTCCTGTCCCTTGCATTCTTTTACTTTCATTAAATTCTTGCTGTCATGTGCCCTTTGTTACTGTTTTAGGAGAGAGAAGGCCAAGTGCAGTTGGAGGAGCAGTTCAGACAAGAGATGGCTGTGCAGAAACGTCTTACTGACCTCTACAAGGTGAGTCTTTCACACATACTCATACACATACATACTTATGCACACAAATACGCACACATGCATACACACACACTCACACACACACACACACACACACACACACACACACCCACTCACACGCCTACAGATGGATGCACTTATAACAGGGAGACTCACAGAATACTCAAACATTCACATACAAAACATAGATCGTAATAAACATGACACACACAAACACCCAAAATGCAAGAGTGTCAACTCAGAATTCCGACATGCTAGATAAACACAGGTACGTGTGCACATCATAGCTCTGCTTTTCTTTCACGTGTATCAGTTTATTTTTACTAGATCTAACTGACTGCATTATTCTTTTATTTTTCAGTATTAGAATTGGAATTTAAAAAAAAAAATTTTAAGGGTTTTACCTCGGAGTTAATTTTAGAGTCCATGTTTTTACGTCTCAACTTTCCAGGCCTCTGCTGAAGAAAATGATGCCAAAATCACAGAGCTCACTGGAGCGGTTGAGGAGTTACGCAGACTCTTGAAGGAAGCTGCTAATGGTGGGTTTGTTGTGATTTTTCTTTCGATTTTGCACTTGTATACAATATCTTTAGTCAAGTGTTCATGAACACTGTGGACCAAATAAGTTCCAAAGGTCATTAGCAATAGAGATGCAAACTACTTCGGTTGGCAAATACAAAACTTATTGTAATTAAAAAGTAGATAGTTTGATTTTATCATTTTGTTTTTGCTTTTTTGTCCTGAGTTCCTATTCAGAAGCCTTTGGTCTTTTTACAGCCCCATTTTCTGTTGCTGAAAAGCATAGATTATAGTACTGAAATAGTCTTCTTCTCCTTTGTCTTTACCTTGCTGGATTTCAGGGGTTAGCATTCTGTAGGTTTCTACTTCCTTGGTTCCGCTGGGGGTTTTTTTTTCTTGTTTGGCCTTTTTTGTTATAAGAATAATAGTGCCCCCCACTTTTCACTCCTATGCCTTTTTTATACATACGAGTAATGATTTGAATTGGTCACAGTGGTCAGTTATAGGAAGGAATTGGTTTCAAATTTTTCTCTGGTTTGTTGGTTTTCTTCCGCTCCCTTCTACCTAAATGCTGTCACCAGTTGTCAAGTACAGGCACTTGAAACCTCAAGAAGTTTTTTCTCTATTCAGGGACAACTTGATCAACGTTCTTACGCAACTTGGAATGCTAAAGGACCACATTTTGAAGCAGGTTAACTTTGAGAAATCACAAGCTGATGATTCGGACATTCAAGTTTTTAATATGTGTTTGTTTGTTCTTTCAGCCTACACTGAGCTTGAAACAACCACCACAGAAGAAAGAAACAAACTGAAGGTGACTGTGAAAGAAAAAGGTACCCATTTAGCTTTCTTTTTCTTTTTAATTCCAAAATTTTACGTGATCACTTTTGTATTTACCATTTAAAGTTGTCAGGAAAGTAGTAGAGTGCATAAATGTGATATATGACCTCCCAAGTATAGAAAACACTTATAAATGCAAAACATTGGATGCTATTAAATGCCGTGTTTTATATTTTAATCATTTCATACGGGAGCTGATGGTGTGTGTTCGTTTTGTGAATGTTACTTGTCGATGTTTATTTTCAATAAAAGTTTGTTTTTTTGTAATTTTGTAATTTTTTATTTTTCGAAATTTTCAGATGAAGCTGTTGCAAAACTTGAGCAAGAACTTCAAAATGCCAATGAGCTGATGGTTGCATTGAAAAAAGGTGTGAATCTCAATTTACATTGTTGTAAAGCTGTGCGTTCCATAATCTATCCCCATTTTGTGTAAAAGCATGTCCTTTCATCTTGCTGTGTGAGACTATTGGTATATGTGGTTCTCTTTGTTGTTGTGTTCATTTTATCTTACATTTTTTTTTACTAATTTGTTCCTTGTGGAATTGGATGGTTTTTGCATTAACTCACTGTAAACTGCCATTCAAGGACATTTTCTGTTTGACTGATTTTTCATTCTGTGTGGTGTAGCCTTTTTCTTATATGAATGCTTTCTTTCATTCCCCTGTGTTACTCAGTTTTGTTTTCAGGTAGTTGGGGGGGGGCTCCACTTGTACGTTTTACATTTGTAAAAAATCCTCCTATATTAAATTCTTCTTTCTCCGTTCCAAATGGTGGCTATCAAGTTATGTGCCTCTCCTGAGTTCATACTGTTTTTGTTTTGTTTTATTATATTATGATTTCCCAGTTCAGACATTGTTGTATCCCTGTCTGTGAACTTTTCTTCAGTTTTAATGAACATGCTTCTGAATCGAAATTTTTGTGTGTTCCCAGGAGCCGTGACACTGACAGAGGATGCTGTTGAGTCCTTATCACCTGCGGCTGCAGCCACCAGCAGACTGCTCAAGTCTGGCATGACTCTCACACAGGTACACAAATCCCGACATATGTTTTTAGCACTAGCCTTTCGAGATGTGCTTTTTTTTTTTTTGGGGGGGGGGGGTGGATTTAGAGATTGCTCTTTTATTTTTATCTCTCAAAAACTATGAGGTGGGATTCATCTTGCAGTTGTCCCTTTGATGCACAGATGCATGGTTGCTGTAGACTCAGAGGAAAGGCTTCGAAGGTTGCAAAAAATGTTAAACCATTTGTTTATCTTTATTAAAAGCTTGTACGCACTTTTATTTGCTCTGGGTTCCTTTTTTTTATGGAAATAAGTCAAGGTGAATGGCACAAGCTCAGAGACTTCTTTTGAAGAATTAGGATGTGCTCTATTATTATTATTATTATTATTATTATTATTATTATTATTATTATACCTTTATTTGAATTTTACCATGCAGATTTACAATGAGTATGTCCAAGCCACTGATGCCTTGAATGACGAGAGAGAAGAAAACAAGAGGCTTAAGTCCTACCTGGATCAGATAGTTCAGGTTTGTCCTTTCTATGATACGAATGTAAAAATATTAACCATGAAAGTTCATTTGACAGTGGTTGATGAGCACTCAAGTTAGGTTATAGCCTCCTACTTCTTTTCTTTGTTGTTATTATCTCACTCTCTCACCATGGTAATGAGTCCTATATTGCTCTGACTGACAATAATAATAACATCCAATCATGAATGGAGATACAGTTTTAGAAATATGTGCCAATAATGTGAAGTCTTACTTGAATCAACTATTATGTAACTGTTTAAACATGTGTGTGGGGGATAAAACTAGTGTAAATCTGCAAAGAGCTTGCTATGTTATTAGTAGTATAGTTGTTTTCCTTTTTTCTTTTGGTGGGTGATTTGAGGTCGCCACTGGTAGGTCATACTTCTTTACTTTCCCCTCTGTTGTGTCTGTCTGTCTTACTTTTTCCCAGCACTAAATTACTATTATTGTGTCGATTGTGCTTCTCTTTACTCAAACAAACAAACATTTTTCTTTTGGTGTACACTTGTGGATGAATTGAGAAAGAAAGAAAAGACTTATAATTATTAGTTCAAGGAATAAATTCTGTTTCATTGTCCCCTGTCCCCCTGTTGTTTTGGTCTCTGTTAGCACAAGTTATCACACTAATATTTTCTCTGAGCTGTACAAACAGGCAAATATAAAAGCATCCTTCATTTTTACGTTGTCTTCAGCATGTATCAGTGTGTGAACTTTAAGCTGATATATATCAATCTTAATGATTTGGAGTGTTAATATGTCATGTGTAGTTGGTACATCTTTAGTTGTATAGCCGTGTGTTCTGGCCCTATGTTTACAGCTTTTTTGATTAATCGACTTTGAGCAGGAAATCGAGGAAAAAGCTCCTATTCTGAAGAAGCAGAAGGAAGATTATGAGACGGTGCTGACTAATTTGGATCAAATGACCTCCCAGCTGGACACAGCTATGCTGGTGAGGAAGAAACTTTTGTTTTTTCTTTTTTATCTGTTGATTAATTTTGTTTTGAGCCATAAAGTTAAAGGCAGCCCGTTGTCAAGTCATTCAGGTATTTTTCTCACTCTGGTTTATAAGGGAAGAGGATGGTTGGAGGGTGCCACTTATAGGTACTACTTCTCTGTTGGTTTTATTTTTCTTGCCTTGCCTTTTCTCAATCACTAAATGACTATTATCAAGCTATATCATTTCTTTTTTTAGCTCAGACAATTAACCTGTATTAGGAATAAAGGTGGGGGATCTCTAAAATGTTTAGTATGTCGGAAAAGTTATCTGGGATGGTTTGGTGCGGGATCTTTGACTTCACTGTGTAAAAGCAGTAGAGAACAAATGAAACAATAACATGCTCTTTATTTTCTACCTTTGTCTTGTCTTTGTGTGTTCAAACAGAACTGATGGCCATTTTTCATAATTATCTTTTTCAGGAACACATACATTTTCCTCTTGTGAATTATTAAAATGCTTCTTAATTTCCAACTTAAACAAATTTGTTATCTTAGGGTAAAAGAAACCATTGAAAAGTTTGAGTTTGTTTATTTTATTCTGGGCTGCTTTAAGATTTGTTGCTGACAGAACTTAATGTTATAATTTCAGATTCTTTCTTAAATTTGTTTGGACTGGAGCAGTGAGTTTGGAGTTGTTTAATTGTTGTTTTTTAAGAAAAACAATTAATTTGTTTATTTCTATTCACTACAACAGGAATGTGAAAAACTGCGCACTGATGCAGATGACATGAGACGTCGATTTGGTCATGTCCAGCGAGAATGTACAAAGCAACATCAGACTTCTCAGGATTTGTCGAAGCAAGTAAGTTGAGAGGTCAAAGGTGAAGTCGATCTTTTGTGATTTAGACCTGCTGATAGGCCTATGAAGTGGTTCGAGAAGATTTTTGTATTGTTGTCAAAGAAACTTACGATATTGTTGCAGGTTAAGGACTGCTTTAAAACCATCACAAGGCAAGTCACCTTAAGTTTGACATTAATTACCACTCAAGAAATTGTTTGTTAGTCAGGTTGTTGTTTTTTTGTTTTTTGGGGGGGGTGGCGGTTGTGACTACTTGCAGTAAATGTACCATCTTTTTGAGCCAAAAAAAGACATCAAGATTATATTTAGTTGTAACAAGAACTCTGGTTTATTGACAAAGATAATATCAGATGCAAAAATTCGACTACTAATCTGCTTTGCATATTTGGGGGTGTTTCAGAAAAATTGGTTTTGGTCTTTGATTTTAACTCCCATTCTATTTGAAAAGTTATTGTTTGGGCTAATGACAAGTGGCCTGTTGTACTTCCCTCAGGTCCAGCACTTGTTGAAGGAAGTTGAGGAATTGAGAGGAGGGAGAATCGTCAGAGATGATCTTAACGTTTCTTCTAGTGAGGTGTCAAGCTCTTCCAGCCTCATTTCTGAGAAACTGGTGACTTTCAGGTAAGGAGAAAAGTATTGTTTCTGGTTTCATAGGTTACTGATTTTTGTTGTTGTTGAACCATTTTAACTCTTTCCGGACTTAGTTTTTTGGGAGCCTGTATGGCAATGCCTGGAGTGCTATGGTGTTGTTTCCAGGATCAAGTAATCGATTTTTTGAGGGGTCTAGACGTAATTAACCTGTATCTCAATTTGGCTATGCTGGTAATGAAGAGAATAACTCCATCACTCCAAAGGTAACTTATGATATATCAAATGAAGGAAATTGAATGAGTTATACATTCAAACATAAAGGAAGAATTAATTTTGAACATTTTTTTGACAGAACCATAGAGGAGCTGCAACAGCAGAACATGCGTCTGATTGAAGTCGCCCGAGAGTTGAGTGAGAAAAAAGAAACTGAGGAGAATGAAGCCACTGCTGAAAAGTAAGTTTGTGAAAATAGAAAGGCATGGTAGTGGATAATAAAGCGCATAGAGCTTGCTGTCGAGTGGGGATATGTGCTGTACAAATGCTATTTATTATTACTAATACAAATGCTGAATTTAAAGTATTAAGTTTGAAATTGTTTGGTGCTAGTGGTTTTCTGGTGTGATTTTGTGTGGGAGAATGTCAATGCAATACTGAAGATTGATGGCATAAATTGAGCCTTTAGGGCTGTTTTGAACCTGCAGCTTTTGCCTTTTGTCAGAATTTCAGGCATACAATAAAAAGAAGAGTAGCGTCTCTGACAGGCTTGCCCCTACATTAGAATAACTTTCTGACTGAAGCTGATGGAGAGGGGTAATTTTTTGAATATTGTCAATTGACACTGCTTTTAGGAACATTTCTTCACAGGGAAGGTTTCCTAGCATTTTTTTGTCAAGGTTTCCTAGCATTTTTTCCGTACTTGCAGTTTTCCTTTTTCTTGGTTTTATGCTAGTTTAACTATTTGTAGTATGGTTATGGTTTCTAAAAACAAAGTAATGTGATATTGTGAACTATATCCTACCCACGAGTTAAGGGGATAATAGACAGCCCTTTTCATACCAGCACAATTTTGATTTTCTCCGTGTTCTTCCTCCTTTTTTCTTATCGTACTTGGTTAAAGTGCTCTATCTTTAAAATGACATGTATGTGTTTAGTAAGGCTTTACAGTGGTACCATGGTGGTGTTCATTAGTATTGTAAATTTGTGTATTTCAGAACACGTGAACTGAAGGAACAGTTGGATTTTGCTATGTCTGAACTGGAAAACCTGAAAGATACTAGGGCCAGGCAGGCAGAAATGGTACGTAATCTGCAGACTAATTTTATTGTTCATTGTTTTTTAAGGTCACTGAAAGGCAAATACCTTTGAACTATTTCATTATACCTTACGTACATAACCTTTAGTTATTTTCATTAGCATTTTCAGTCAGAGAATTTATGTTAATAATTCTGTTCATGATAATTTTGCTTTTGCTTTTTTTTTTTTTTTGGTAGATGACCCAGATTAAGTGCTTAAATGAACCAGATTAAGTGCTGAAAGAATTTTTCAAGCATGTAAGTTTCCTCCTTTTCAGCCAAATTTTACTCAAGGGAGAAGTTTCAGTCTGCTGTGACACCACATCGCTCTTGTAGCATTATATATAGTGTCCATCAATGCTCAATTTTCTAGTTTGTAGGTAGTTTTAAATCTAGTTGACACTCACAATTTCATTTTTATTGTTTGTCTTGGTTTAGGTGGAGTCTATTGTCAGACAGCGTGACATGTACAGGGTCCTTCTTCAGCAAGGAGGGTCTAGCTCAGAGGTGAGTGTATGAGTAGGGAAGAGGGACCCGTGGCTTACGTATGGGTGGCACATATGTCACTGTTTACAAGCCAAGTGCTTTCCGTTGTCCGCTTAGTCAGGAGTCCCTAAAAATCTAATTTTGGGATTTTAGGAAATATCCAGCAGAGAGAGAGAACAGAATCCCACTCAGGTTCTTCATTTCCTCGTCTTTAATAACAGTGAAAACAGTTCAGAACAAAGAGTGAGCTTAAGAACAAGTCACATTTTCAATGTTAAGAAAAAAATGGAGATAGGACAAGAAAGCACTGAGGTAGCAATCTTTTTATCAAGAACAAGACGTTTGTAAACTTGTCCTGGACTCTACCAAAATGATACGTATCATTTTATTTTTGGTATTTTCTCTTTTGGTAGTTCTGTTAGTACTTTAGCTCCCTATTTACCAGTGTGGTTTGTCATGATTATTTTTTTCTGTGGAATTGAATAGATCAAGTTATAGTTCAGTGGAGGTGTCAGTATTTTGAAATGGGGTTTATTATAAGTCACTAATGGGTAACCAGCGCTAAGCTTTGAATTGTACACTGAAAACATTGACATGCAGGTGTAGTTAAGACGAGATGTCTTTGTGTTGAGTAACTCTTTTGACAGTACATCCGTACCTGGGCTTCTCCACCAGACATACAGCACGGCGTCACTTTTCGCCCAATTCTGTTACCTTTAGTTAGCATGACTCAGCAGCCCGCCAGAGCTCCCCGGCTCGGGGTCAC